GTAGAGGCTGTTGAGAGTGCGGGACCGTGTCCTCTGAATTTAATTCTCTTCATTGGTCCTACAGAGCCTGAGGTGGTTGAACTTCAGTTCACACTTCTAGGAGCCCATTGTCATTATTGTTTGTGAAATACTGCAATTTCGAAGTGATGATCTGTTATAGAAAAGCATATAAATAAACATCTGTTCTCAGATACATCATCCAGTTGAGTGGAAATGGGCAAGAATGTTTCTGTATGGAAAAGAGCGGGGAGAGAGGGGTATTTTGTTGTCTGTGTTTATAACAGTATATAGGTAACAGTGATGATATTGTCCCTAGAACAAGGGTTCTCAACCTGTGAGTAGCTCCCTCCCCCACGAAAGCCTATATCTGCAGCCCTAAAGGGCGTTAGTAATTGTTCTCTTGTGAAATTGGTGTGCACATTCTTTCAAAGGGGATATAATCAATTGAGAAGAGTCATAGCCTAAAAGTGACGTCTCTCAGATCTAGAAGAGCTGAGGTTTGTTGTAAGTCACAGGACAAGATAATCTCAGATGGTAAAGGTGGAATAGGCCTAACAGAGAGTTTCAGTGTTTGGGGTGAAGTACTAGGAGCAAATATGGGGATCAGCTAGTGTTAGTGTTTCATAGGTGGGTACTATGGTATGATTTAAAGTGTCTTTAAAGACTGTGAGCTGCTGCTTGAAAGGATTCCACATTATGACAGGACTGATGAGAAGGAAATGCCATCAAAGATTCAGTATTTTGATGGTAATGCCACAAAGCGCAATACTGGGAAATAGTTAGGTATCTTCTAGACCTTGTCGCCTGAAAGCAGGCAGGAACAAGACACCTGGCCTACTTCACTCTTGAGGCACTCTGGTGGTGTCTTCCAGGATTTAAAAAAAAAAAAAAAACCAACAAAAAAAAACCAAAAGAACAAACAAACAAAAAACACCAAACCCACAACCTAACAAACATAAAAAACCAACTTTGTCCCCATGTCAGAGAATCTGAGACCCTTTCCACATATATCCTAACTTCAGGGTTATATGTTATTCTTTAGGTAGAGGGGAAAAAAATGAAACCTGCAAGGGGTTTGAGAGCCACAGATGGACAACCCACCCCCCATTGGTAAACAGGTTGAGAATCTCTGTTTTAGCGTATGTAAAGATACATCTATACTGAGCCCACATGGAGCTCTTTGCTGCCACAATGGGACTAGTTTTGGCAGCTCACATTGTATTAACACAGACATCCCCGCAGCATCCTCCGGCCTGCATTATAGGCAAAATCCTAATGCAGAGTAGTCCTAAACTATGCGTTGTATTTGAGTAAGTTGGAAAAAAATGCCAGTATCCACTTGAAAGAGTCCTGAAGGGTAAAAACAGTAGTGCGTGTGACTTTAAACTCTCATGGTTACAATTTGTGCAGGTCTTGGTTAAACAACTGACTTTTACACCCTTGTAGAAAAGGTAATTTAATGTTTTCTTTTTCAGGCTCCTCCATTGCCATCCTCCTCATCTTGACATTTTTTCATGGACATTAAATGAAAACTTTTCTGATATTCAGGAAGTGACCCAGTTCTGCACCACTGATTTTTGTAGCTATCCCGTAAGGCTGCTGGCTGAAAGCTGTGTCTATGCAACCTTCCAAGTGCGGAGTGTCAACCAACTGGACAGGAGAGAGCACTGCCTCCTACTCCAGAACTCAAAACAAATAAAGCTCATCCAGCTGTGCTTCGAAAAAATAATTCCATGTTTTGTATATATCTGACAAAACTGGCAACATTATACAGACTACTGACTTGAAGACCACCTCTTTTGTATTTCTCTGTTTCTGGGCTGATGAGTTGGTTTCATCCATTTTTCCCCTTCAGAATTTCCCTTGGAAAAAGTACTAGCTTAGCTGGTCATTTCTTTGTAAGGTAGTTAGAAATTTTAAGTCTTTCTTTGGGCAACTTTTTTTTTTTTTTAATGTGAAGAGTTAGGTGATATAAATTTTTTACTGCTTTTATGTTTTTCTGTCTTGTTTTGAAACCATGACGGTTACACTTTTGGTTCCTAAATAAAATTTAAAACAATTAACAGCCAAGTCACAAAGATAAATGGGTTGCACATAGACTAAGGAATAAACTTCAGATTTGTGATTTTTGTTTCTAATCTTGATGTAAATTTACACTATTTATAAATACATATTTATTGCTTGAAAATATTTGTGAATGGAATGCTGTTATTTTTTCCAGATTACCTGCCATTGAAATTTTAAGGAGTTCTGTAATTTCAAACACTACTCCTATTACATTTTCTATATGTAAATAAAACTGCTTAGCATTGTACAGAAACTTTTATTAAAATTGTTTAATGTTTAAAGTTTTTCTATTGTTTGAGTTTTAAAAAGATTTTATGTACAGTGCCCAGTTTTTGTTCTTTTTTGAATCTGATTATATATATTTTATATATACTCTTGTGCTTGTGTATATATATAATATATATAGAAGCTCAAATATAAATATGTGTATAAAGATTTAGAGACTAAATTTTTCTCGTTTTAAGTTTTACATCTATGGTAGATTTGAGGTGTCTACTGTAAAGTATTGCTTACAAAAGTATGATTATTTTTAAAGAAATATATGGTATGTATCCTCAAGACATAAAATGACCTTCAGACTGGTTTATTGTTAAATTGCACTTTTTGCAATAACAGACCAATAAATAGTTGCTGCCAAAATGTAGTAGTAGAAAATAAGTAACGGCTAAACTTTAAAGCTCTTCAAGAAAATACCAGCTTTGACAGGAAGTTTGGCACTAGTTTTAGAGGAGCAATGAAAAAGGTGAATTTGAGTTTGGATGGGGATGTTCTCTAGAATTCAACCAAATTGCAACTTATATATTACAGTATGTTCTATTAACAATTTAAAAAGTTAAGACTGAATCATCTTGGCGTCATTGTTGACCCCAAAAAAGGACGTTGTTTTGTGGTATTCTATTGTATTTTCACATATTTTGTAATACAAATTCACTGGTAAATTTTTGAAGCACTAGGTTTATTTAGGGCAAGTTTATAATATATCATTGTAACAGTTTGCAGTTTTAATGATGGTATTTATTTTAAGTTGCTCCTTTCTCATTAGCTTCTTGAAAATGCATTAAATCTAAATTTCAAAATTGATAGCTTTCTTATCGATCAGAGTTGACTGATGCAGAAGGTTCTGCATCAAACAATTTCTCATAATTTCTCATTAGTGGGGTATGTTAGTGATTGCATTGTTAAATTTTTTGTAATCAATGTGAAGTGTTAAAGGCACAGAGCATGCTAATAGTTTCTTTTGAAGAAAAAGGATCGCCTCTTATATTTGTAGCTTCAAACAAAGGGTGTTTTAATGAAGAACCAGTACAGCTTGTCTACTGCTGTTAAAACAGTTTAACCATAGTTATAAATGACTTTCTTGCTAGTTCTTACAACAGTTGGACAAAAGGGTATAGAGATTAAAGTATAACAAACGCTCTTGCCAGCAAAATTACCAACTAGCAGTTAGGAAGCCAGTATTTGCAGTTCTGTAAAGATGTAAGTCTCAGCTCTTGATAACAAACTCTACAACTCATAATTTTTTTTACTTATGTATTTTATGCAGTCATAAATATTGTAATCTTGACAAACCATGCTGCAACTGAAAAGCTACTCCTTTACAGTAGTCTTAAACCCAAATAAAAGCAAGATAACTTACCTCAACTAATGGTAAACAAAAAGTCCTCGTTTCTCAGTGCTGTAAAAGAATACTGCT